ACTAAAGGCGCCAGAATCCAAAAGCTAACCTTTAATGTAACAGAGCTTCTGGACGCTTTCCGTGCAGACATCACTGCTACCTAAGGGACTAGTCTCCTTGTCTGAAATCATAGACATTGTTAACTACATTTACAACGAGAAAAATGATACAATACACTCGCCTTGCAAAACAAATTCAAACAACAAAGAGGGCATAAAGTAAAACAAAAAAAAAGTAACTCCCACTTAAGTCCTTACCCCAGTAATGGGCATACTTTCCTAATATTAGCCTACGCACAAACACATAAATACAGAGTTTATTTTAAAATAAATAGTTTAATTCCGTGCATTTAGGTCTTAAGCTGCTTAGAGTTTACTTCAAGGAATGGCTCAAACGGTAAAGCGGCTGCCTACAATGCGGGAGACCAGGGTTCGATCCCTGGGTGGGGAAGATCCTCTGGAGAAGGAAATGAAATGGCAACCCACTCCAGTACTCTTGCCTGGAAAATCCCATGGGAGGAGCCTGGTAGGCTACAGTCTATGGGGTCACAAAGAGTCGGACACGACTGAGCGAATTCACTTTATGCGAAGTATACAACTTTTTTCCCCAAATGGATAGCCCATTGTCCCTACTCTATCTAGTGAATCTGCCATTAGTTCTCCATGGACTTGAAGTAACACCACGTTAGTCTGTGCGTGCGTGCTCTGTCACTTCCGTCCTTCCAGTCGTGTCCACTCTTTGTGACCCCAGGGACCACAGCCAGCCAGGCTCCTATGTCCATGGGATTTTCCCAGCAAGAACACTGGAGTAGGTTGCCATGGTCTCCTCCAGGGAATCTTCCCCACCCAAGGATGCAACCTGAGTCCCTGCACTGCAGGCGGATTCTTTACCCCTGAGCCATGGAGAAAGCCCCGTGGCTTTCATGGGCCTGTATCTGGACACTATTCTGTTTCACTGCTACATTTATTATGATTGCACCCATAACACTATTTTAATTATCATAAGTAATAAACTATCTGGTAGGACAAATGCCTGCTCTACTCCAGTTTTTTCAGAATTTTCCTGACTATACTTGAAAGCTGATTCTTTTGATTGTTTAAAATTCAGTTCCCTTCAAAAAAAGTCCCATTGCTATTTTGATATGGCATTAAACTTACAGACAATATGAGGAGAAATGATGTCTTTATAAAATGATGGTTTTCCCCACCACCATAATATGGTGTATCTCTTTCATTCTTTCTGGCCTTCTTTAATATCTTTCTAAGGGGAACATTTTATGCAAAGATGAGCTCAATAAAGGAGAGAAATGGTATGGACTTAACAGAAGCAGAAGATATTAAGAAGAGGTGGCAAGAATGCACAGAAGAACTGTACAAAAAAGATCTTCACGACCCAGATAATCATGAAGGTGTGATCACTCACCTAGAGTCAGACATCCTGGAATAGGAAGTCAAGTGGGCCTTAGGAAGCATCATTACAAACAAAGCTAGTGGAGGTGATGGAATTCCAGTTGAGCTATTTTAAATCCTAAAAGATGATGCTGTGAAAATGCTGCACTCTAAATGCCAGCAAATTTGGAAAACTCAGCAGTGGCCACAGGACTGGAAAAGGTCAGTTTTCATTCCAATCCCAAAGAAAGGCAATCCCAAAGAACACTCAAACTACCGCACAGTTGCACTCATCTCACACACTAGTAAAGTAATGCTCAAAATTCTCCAAGCCAGACTTCAGCAATATGTAAAACGTGAACTTCCAGATGTTCAAGCTGGTTTTAGAAAAGGCGGAGGAACCAGAGATCAAATCGCAAACTTCCACTGGATCACTGAAAAAGCAAGAGAGTTCCAGGAAAACATCTATTTCTGCTTTATTGACTATGCCAAAGCGTTTGACTGTGTGGATCACAATAAACTGTGGAAAATTCTTCAAGAGATGGGAATACCAGACCACCTGACCTGCCTCTTGAGAAATCTGTATGCAGGTCAGGAAGCAACAGTTAGAACTGGACATGGAACAACAGACTGGTTCCAAATAGGAAAAGGAGTACATCAAGGCTGTATATTGTCACCCTGCTTATTTAACTTATATGCAGAGTACATCATGAGAAACGCTGGGCTGGAAGAAGCACAAGCTGGAATCAAGACTGCTGGGAGAAATATCAATAACCTCAGATATGCAGATGACACCACCCTTATGGCAGAAAGTGAAGAAGAACTAAAGAGCCTCTTGATGAAAGTGAAATAGGAGAGTGAAAAAGTTGGCTTAAAGCTCAACATTCAGAAAACAAAGATCATGGCATCTGGTCCCACCACTTCATGGCAAATAGATGGAGAAACAGTGTAAACAGTGGCAGGCTTTATTTTTTTTGGACTTCAAAATCACTGCAGATGGTGACTGCAGCCATGAAAAAGATGCTTACTCCTTGGGAAAAAAAGTTATGACCAACCTAGATAGCATATTAAAAAGCAGAGACATTACTTTGCCAACAAAGGTCCGTCTAGTCAAGGCTATGGTTTTTCCAGTGGTCATGTATGGATGTGAGAGTTGGACTGTGAATAAAGCTGAGCACCGAAGAATTAATGCTTTTGAACTGTGGTGCTGGAGAAGACTCTTGAGAGTCCCTTGGACTGCAAGGAAATCCAACCAGTCAGTCCTAAAGGAAATCAGTCCTGAATATTCATTGGAAGGACTGATGTTGAAGCTGAAGCTCCAATACTTTGGCCACCTGATGTGAAGAGCTGACTCATTTGAAAAGACCCTGATGCTGGGAAAGATTGAAGGTGGGAGGAAAAGGGAACAAGAGAGGATGAGATGGTTGTATGGCATCACTGACTCAATGGACATGATTTTGAGTAAACTCTGGGAGTTGGTGATGAACAGGGAGGCCAGGCATGCTGCAGTCCATGGGGTCACAAAGAGACAGACACGACTGAGCAACTGAACTGAACTGAAAGTTGTCTTTATGTTAGTACTTTTTTAAATACAGTAGCTGTAATGCCATGCAAATCGCAGCCTTTCAGTTCAAAAATCACTTTAGATAGGTAGCAATATAGATCTCATTACCTTCTGGTAATGACCCTTTGACATAAATGATTCATGAGTCCAAAAGAAATGTACCAGCTAAAGCTTGAAGGGGTGAAGGGTGAGCTTAGAAGGTGGTAGGAGAACTGGAGGTGGTAGGTGGCAGCTGGTAAGGCCTGCATTTGACCTTAAAGATGATCTCAAAACTTGTGCACATTACTTTTTGTTGCACAGAAAAGTGGAGAAGAATGAAGTCAGCTCATTTGGGGAAGATGGGGGAATATGAGAAAGCAGATGGAAGAAGAATACCTTAGCTTCTTAAGTCCAGAAATGTCCATCATTCATCATCCTCCCCCAGTCTGCTCAATTTTGCCCTAGAAATGACTCTTCAGCCTGCTCCCCCTTCTCCCTTCCATTCTATTGTTCATCTTCTCTCCTTGATTAGTTTCAGTCTATGACAGTTGTGCCCCACTCCCTTCACCCTCCACACTGCCCAGAATTATCTTCCTAAAGGAGAAGTCTCATCATGCCATGCCACTCCTTGCGTTAAAGAGCAGATCCACTACTGGATCCACGTGTCTTCCTCCAGGGGAGGCTCCTGGTTCATTTCTTTAGCTGCTGAGCTGCTCCTGCTCAGTCATGTCCGTCTCTTTTGTGACCTCATGGACTGTGGCCTGCCAGGCTCCTCTGTTCATGGGATTTTCCCAGGCAAGAATACTGGAGTGGGTTGTCATTTCCTACTCCAGGGGATCTTCCCGACCCAGGGATCGAACCCACATCTCCTGCATTGGTAAGTGGATTCTTTACCACTCTGTCACCTGGGAAGCCTCATTCCTTTACCTGCTATACAAAATCATTCACACCCTGTTCCAGTCATCCTCTTCAGCCTTCTCTCTCCTGCCCTCTACCCCCACAAACACCTCATAATAGGATGTGCCTTGCCTTTCTCTCTCTTTGGAATACCCTTTCCCAACTTCTGCCCACCCTTCAGAAAGATTATCCTCAAATGTCCCCTCCTCTGGACAGCCTGCACTGACTCCATCCCTCCCCCAGCCAAGTTCTGGGAGTCACTTTGTCTTCTGAGTCATACCTCTATTATAGCATTCCTGGAATCATAATACCTCTTCATATGTCTCCTCAACCATACGAGGAAGGCAGGGTCAATATTAATTCATGTCTGACTTCCCATTGCCTAGAATAGTGATTAGCACAAAACAGACATGGATAGATGGATGGATGCATGAATGGATGTTAACTTCGATGAATGGATGGAGAAGAGTAGTAAGAGAATTTAGGAGAAGTAACCCTGAGAAGATCAAAGAAAGACACCAGAGGGAGCTGACACACCACAATAAAGAAGTGGGAGGGCCAAAGAAGGCTACAAGCTCTGGGGTGAGCGGCGCGCAATAGGCGAGCATCACGCAACTGGAACCGCTCACCCACCTGTGCATCCCCTTATCCTCCTTCCCAGACTGCGTTCGAGCTCACCCACCGCCCCCACCATCCCCGTAGGCTCCAACGCCACTGAGAAAGCAAACAAAGGGGAGGGAACCCCTGCAGGGTGCTGGATGCAGGGAGCCAATCAGAATGCTTTAATCTCCTGGAAGGCGGGCGCCTTCTTTTGAGGGGGCCCAATCAGTTCCTAAGCGGGTGCGGAGGGGCGGAGAGATGGGCGGGAGGAGCAGGGTGTAGAGACCGCGCGCGCCGGGGAGGGATCCCTTGGCAGGGGTGGGGATGGAGGGCGGAGGGGGCCGGACGGAGCCAATCACGGCGCGTGTCTGTGAAGAGAGGGCGGGCAGCGCCGTGGCGCGCGCGATCCGGGCTGACGCATCTGGCCTCCGTTCCCCAGGATCCAAGTTGGGAGGGGGGGAGAAGAGGCGGGGGTAGTGGAGAGAGCGCGGGGGCGCGCGTGCGCAGTGGCGCGGGGAGGAGCAGGGACCTGGCAGCGGGCTAGGAGGCTGTGAGCTCTCCGCGAACCGGGCGGGCGGCGGGCGCGCGCACCATGGGGGAGAAACCCGGGACCAGGTAAGAGAGGTGGGGCCATTCGGCGGGACGTGGGCGGCGGCACCGGGCGGGTGCCGGGACGGTCCCCAGACAGGAACACCACGGAGAGAATTCGGGGGCCGGACGCCTGGGTCCGTAGGGGACAGCCATCCGGGGCCGCACGCCTAGGTCCTCGAGGATAATGAGGGGAAGGCATGCCACAGCCCCTGCAGAAAGCGAGGGCTGAAGATCAAGAAACCTGCATCGGGGTTCTCGCAGAGATGTGGGGGGCCGGACGACTGGGTTCTCCGGTGCAGCCTGCGTTGCAGGGGCGGAGGAAGGAGCAGGTGGCCGGCCCGGAGGGGATGGGTGTGGGCAGGCTAGATGCCAGGGGCGGGATCCCCCCCAAGACTCGTGCCCAGCCACTTGAAAGCCTCCTATCCAATACCCCACAGGCAGTCGGGCTGCCCCCACCGGTCCCAAGGGCCGGGTGGCTATGCTTCCAAACTTCTCCTTTCCCCCGGGTTGCTAGGAGCAACAGCTTCATTTTGGGGAAGCAAAGAGTGCTTGGCGACCCTCCCCAATTCTGGGCCTTATCCCTATTCCCGGGGGTGAGGGAAGGCTGTGTCTGCCCAGGGCACGCCATCCACTCCCCGGATGTTTTCTGTGCAATCGAGGCTCCTTCCTTCCACTGACACCCCGAGTTCTCTTTTTTGGTCTCTAGCAAAATCCACTTCCTGTTGTGACCCAACACCTCCGGGGGTGAATGCCTGAGTCTCTGGGGAGCAGGAACAAAAGAGGAAAAAGATTGGGGCTATTTGCTTCTCTCCAGAGAGGATCAGGAATGGGCGCCTGGTTCTGAGCTGTCACTTGTTCTGCAAAACATTTTACCAGCCCCACAGCTCCCCACCCATAGAGTAGGAAATCACAGGTTCCTGAGCACCCAGTCGACTGATACTGGAGAGGTGATCAGAGGGAGGACTGGTGTCCTGGATTAGGGGTTAAACACAGCAAAAGGGGAAGTCGCTGACTTGAGGGAGGCCCCAGATTTCCGTTATGTGGTTCAGGGAGGGGGACGGATGGACCACACGGGGACTGCTGACTTGGCACAATTCCTCCCACCTCCATCAAATTCTGGGCCACAGGAAATGGAGAGAATAGCAGGAAGTGTGAAGGGGCATCTGCTTCTGCTGCCCCCCTCTCCCCCCACCTGCCGGGCACCTCTCAGGTCACCCCGACACTCCGCCTTCTTGGCCAGCTTCAGTACACACATGCCTGCTCCTCCCTAGCCGGCAGGAGGTTGGCTGGGTTTGGATCCAAAGGGCAGGTGCCCTGCAGCTGCTTCAGGGCAGTTACTCCAGAACCACACTCCAGTTGTCCAACGGACTGTGGCTGTCCCAACCCTCTGCCAAGGACTCCTGATAGGAAGAAACACTGGGACAAAAAGGAAAACCAGAAGCAAGGGGGAGGGAGAGCTGAAGGCTGCCACAGCAGTCAGCCCCCAGGTGGGGACAAGAGATAGGGTGCTTATCCTAGTTCCCACCACACCAGTGTCTGCCCTCCTTTACTGGATGGGGGTACCTGGGGGCCTCTGTACCCTATGCCTTATGGTCTTTGGATAGCTTGGCATTCTGGGAAGAAGGGACATGTGACGTTGTTACAGTGGATGGGCCAGGTGGCAGGATTTCAGTTTCTACTACCTGGGGACCCTTCCTGGGTATCACTGCTGAGGCAGAGTGGATTGGTAGGAGTAAGGTGGGGCAGGAGAGAACAGGCCCACAAGTGTCCAGGGCACAGGGGTTGCCAGACATCTCCCTATCCTCCCAGCAGTGGGTGGAGTCCAGGCTTAGACCATTTCAGCAACCAGAAAGCGAACTCTCCTTCACTCCAACAAACATAATGCCAAGAACAGAGGCAGGACAGTACAATCATTTAGTGATGAAGAGCCAGAGTACCTCTGTCTGTACCCGAATTCCACCATTTACACTCTCCGTGACCTCAGGCAAAATACTTGACTTCTCCTGGGCTTCAGTTTCCTCACCTGTAAAATAGAAATATTAGGACCTCTATCACTGGGTTGCTACGAGTATTAAATGCAATTAACACACCTGAAACACTTGCAACGCTATAGGGCATGAACCGTTCACCCAATAAATGTTAGGCAGCATCATGGTGTCTGGCTTATGGCTGGGAACTGTGCTGGGGACGCCTAAATCAATAAGGCCTCTGTTGCCCACAGTCTAGTGAAATAGATGATACACAGCTAACTGCACGTTATCACACTACATGTGTGCTAAGTCACTCAGTCGTGTCCAGTTCTTTGTGACCCCACGGACTGCAGCCCACCTGGCTCCTCTGTCCGTGGGATTCTCCAGGCCAGAATACTGGAGTGGGTTGCCATGCCCTCCTCCAGGGGATCATCCCCACCCAGGGATCGAACCCTTGTCTCTTATGTCTCCTGCATTGGTAGGCGGGTTCTTGACCACTGGCACCACCTGGGAAGCCCTGTGACACTACAAGTAAAGCATAAACAAGGTGTGACAGAAACCCCAAAAAAGGGAGTGACTAGAGTGGGCCTGGATCTACCTTCTAAAGGAGGTGACATCTGAGCTGGGCCTTGAAAGACAAATAACATTTTAAGCTGCTGAGATCAGAGACAGGGATAGTTGGAGGTTAATGGAGAGCAGGGTCACACTTAGGAACTGCCCATAACAGAAACCAATTTAGATCCATTGCTCTTTCCAGTACTCCAGCTCTTGTGGGAGGTGGAGACCAGAGATGGAAAGAGGGAGAGGTCTTATACAGACAACCTGCAACCTGCCCATTCAGGTCCCCCTGGAGGAGATCCTCTGGGAAGAGCCTGAGCGGTTCCTCTGGCAACCTGAGGCCATTGTCAGGGGAGGAGGGGAACTAGTGAGGGTGGAGCAAGGGGGTTGCCATGTTGGGTATATTAACAGCTTGTGGTTACCTGTCCTTCTGGGGAGAAGTGGGACAGGGTAGGGCTCGGTAAAGCCCCAAAGCCTCCAGGTGGGAATCTCGGGTGAGCTCTGCCTTCTCAGGCTGGGGAGGGACGAGGTCCTGGCACCAGGGTCTCTGCTGAGTCTGAGGCAGGCAGTGGGGTTTCCCTTTCTGTTTTGTTAGGGTCTTCAAGAAGTCGAGTCCTAACTGCAAGGTGAGTCTCCCACAGTGCTTCTCTTCCTGACCCTCCCTGGGCCCTCACAAGGCCCGGCCTGCCCCTAGACGATCCCCAACCCCAAGCTCCCCACTTCCTGTGACAGCTAAGAGCCGACTTCCTTCCCTCCTGAAGCCCCTGGCCGCAAAGGCCTAAGCCAGCCACAGGGCTGGGTGGGGACAGGCTGGTGTCCTAAGCGAGACTAAGGGGGAGGGGCCAGAAATCCAGGCCTGGAGCCCTCATAGGGGCCAAGCCAGGATGCCTCCCCCAGGCTATGGCCTGTTTATCCGAGGTCCTTGAGGGCATCTGGTGAGGTTCTCTAACTGCCTGCCTCGGGCCAGGTTCTCCTGGACACACACACACACCCACCCACCTGGAAACCGTATTAGGGAGCAGTTAAAAAGCCTCAAGTTCAGCTAGTTGGGGGAAAGCCCACCACTCTCTTCTTGCAACTCTACAAAAACCCAGAGAAACTCCTTCAGAGACCCCCAACCTGGGAGGCCCAGGGGCAGGGCAGCCACTTTTGAGGGCTCTGAAGCCCTGCCAGCCCCTACCCAGTCTTCCTGTGACCCCTCTGCATCCTCAGCTCACCGTGTACCTGGGCAAGCGGGACTTTGTGGACCACCTGGACAAAGTGGATCCTGTAGGTAAGTAAGACTGCCCAGAAGGGAGCATCAAGTCCCCCGAGACGGGAGGCAGTTCCTGGGCCCAGGAATGGAGGGGAGGCCCTGACAGAACTGCGCTCCTGTGTCCCCTTCCCCAGATGGCGTGGTGCTAGTGGACCCGGACTACTTGAAGGACCGCAAAGGTACCGGCCCTGAGGCCAGGGGCCTGAGGGAAGGGAGTCAGGGAGGCGGGGCTGGCACTGGGATGGGCCTCAAGGAGACAGGCGGGGAGCCGAGGCGAAAGCCAGGAGTGGGGTGAGATTCAGCCAGGTGCTGTGCTGCCGAGGAAGGAGCAGCTGCTGCTACGAACTGGGGGGACTTCGGGAGGGGGGCTCCTGACCACCCTGCCTTGCCCTCCCTTGCTAGTGTTTGTGACCCTCACCTGCGCCTTCCGCTATGGCCGCGAAGACCTGGACGTGCTGGGCTTGTCCTTCCGCAAAGACCTGTTCATCGCCAACTACCAGGCCTTCCCCCCAACGCCCAACCCACCCCGGCCCCCTACCCGCCTGCAGGAGCGGCTGCTGAGGAAGCTGGGCCAGCATGCCCACCCCTTTTTTTTCACAGTGAGGATGCCCCCACCCTCTGCAGAGCAAGGGGTCCGGGACTGTGTTGGGGGGCAGGGGTGAGACACCTGTTACAAGAAGGTCTAGGAGTAACACTGTGGGACCCTAGACCCCCAGACCCCTTCAGAGTCACCCTGCACTCCTAGCCTCTCTGCCTCCTCCTTGGGGCCCCCTCCGTTTTCCTTTCTTATCCCCAGGAGTCCCTCTCCAGCCTCTTGAGATTGAGAGGAAGATTTGGGGACTTTCTGGAAGAACTGAACTCCTTTCCTTCGCCACAGATACCCCAGAACTTGCCCTGCTCCGTCACCCTGCAGCCGGGCCCGGAGGACACCGGGAAGGTAGGGGAGGAACAGTGCAGCAGGAGCCAGGGGCACACCTGAGGCGGGCTGGGGTGCTGAGGAGACAGCAGGGTGGGACTCAGGGCAGGGAAATATGGCCCGTGGCCGTGGCCCTGTGGAATGGGCGCTGTCCCCTGTCCCCGGGTGATACCGCCTCCTGCTCTTGACCTGCTCATAAGGGTAGAAGGGCTCACCTTGCACAGCCAGGACCGAGCCCCGGCCTCGGGGAGGCAGAGGCCTTAGGCTAGAGGCTAGAGGCTAGAGGCAGACCCAGGCCCTAGGCTCCTCAGACCCAGAGTCCCTGCCCAAGGCGAGGGAAGCAGGAAGGAAGGGAGTGGCGGTGGCGGCAGGGACCTTGTGTAAGATGTGCCCTTTTCTACCCACCTTGAGGCCTGCGGGGTAGACTTTGAGATTCGAGCCTTCTGCGCCAAATCACTAGAAGAGAAAAGCCACAAACGGTGAGGGACGCAGCCCCCCTCGGGCCTGACCTGGACCCCTGTGGAAGGTGGGAGCCAGTGTCTGACCCCTCACCGCTCGCCCCCTGCCCCCAGGAACTCTGTGCGTCTGGTGATCCGAAAGGTGCAGTTTGCCCCAGAGAAACCCGGCCCCCAGCCTTCAGCTGAAACCACACGCCACTTCCTCATGTCTGACCGGTCCCTGCACCTTGAGGCTTCACTGGACAAGGAGGTGGGGTGGGGACGCACGTGCTGCAATGCAGGCCCTGGGGGGAGGGCTGGAACCACAGGGCAGGATGGTGTTTTCAAAGGAGGCCACCTTAGCTGAAGGTGAGCTTGGGTACAGGCTGGGAGGAGGACCAGCCCTGTGTGTGTATGGTGGGGGTGAGGAGGGGGTCATGCTAATAATAAGGATCAGTGAAAACACCCAATTAACCTGACCCCTCCCCTGAAAAGCTGTACTACCATGGAGAGCCCCTCAATGTCAATGTCCACGTCACCAATAACTCCACCAAGACTGTCAAGAAGATCAAAGTCTCTGGTAGGAGGTGGGGGTTGGAAGGGGGCCTTACGGTGGGGGTGGGGTGTGGGGGGGGCACAGTTTCTGCCAATGTGGCCTCAAGCATCAGCTCAGCCCCAGGACTGAGCCCACTTTGGGAGACCCATGCGGCTCAAAGACTTCAGGCTGTCTGTCCCGGGATGAGATGGAGGGGCAGTGCGGGTCTTCAGAGGGGCCGGGGCCCTTGCCTGGGTCTGGAGCTAAGTAGGGGGTTGTCTGTACCCCATGCCCAGCGGCTTGGCACCTGGCCCCTCCCCCCCACAGTGAGACAGTATGCCGACATCTGCCTCTTCAGCACCGCCCAGTACAAGTGCCCCGTGGCTCAGGTCGAACAAGAGTGAGTAGCAGAACAGCCCTGGGAAGGGTGCCCTGGGAACGTGGGGGTGTGGGTGGTTCTTCCCAAATGGTCTCTACTTACAAGGGCATTCCCTCCAGTCTGAGGGTGGCTCTGAGCTGCCTGTTTTCTTGAGCAGGTTGGCCCCAAACCTACTCCCTGTGACCCGTGCCCGCAGAGAGGAGGGGCTTGTGGTGGGGGAGAAGCCGCTGGGGGTGGGAGCTGCCCCCTCGCCCGGCCTGCCCGCTCAGAGTCTCCCTCTCTCGCCCCCACCCCGCAGTGACCAGGTGTCGCCCAGTTCCACCTTCTGTAAGGTGTACACCATAACGCCCCTGCTCAGCAACAACCGGGAGAAGCGCGGCCTCGCCCTGGACGGGAAGCTCAAGCACGAGGACACCAACCTGGCATCCAGCACCATGTGAGGGGGCGTCGGGGGCGGCTGCAGCCCGTTCTGTCCCTGGGGCCAGGGCTCTGTCACTGAACAGACCCCAAACACCTCTCCCGTTCTCAGGGGGAGGCCAGACAAATCAGATACAGGACAGAATGTGTAGTGCGTTTAGTGACAGGTGTTAAGGAGAAAAAGCAAGGCCGACCTGGGAGATATAAAGGGGGAGGGTGGTGGGAGGGATGGGGAGACCTGACCCAGAGGTGGATTCTGGGTGAAGATGCCAAGGGGGTAGGTGATGTGGATGTGCAGGGCAGGAGTGCTCCAGGCAGAGGGTACCACAGGCACAAAGACCCTGAGGTGGACCCCCGGGTGTCTGAGGCAGGCCCTCTAGGGCAACAGCTTCATAAAGTAGGGGCTGGATTTCCCCCCTACCCGCCCCTCTGTACACGACCCCATACAGCAAGCCTGGAGGCCAGCCTGGGAGCCAGAAGTGGGGTGAGAGGGCTGATGGAGGGCAAGACAGTGCAGGGTGGCTGGGTTGCAAGGACTTGGGCTTTTACTGAGAGAGGGATGAGAAGGACCACAACAGGGTACTTTACGTGACATGAGCATGCTGGTATCTGTAGTCCTGCCTCCTCACGGGGGCCCCAGGTGGGCAGTGGGCTCTGGTCCAACCCCTTCTCCCAATTGCAGCGTAAAGGAGGGTGCCAATAAGGAAGTGCTGGGGATCCTGGTGTCCTACAGGGTCAAGGTGAAGTTGGTGGTGTCTCGAGGCGGGTGAGTGCTGGGCTGGGGGGATCCTGGGGGTGGGGAGGTGGCGCAGAGGTTTCCTCTGGCTCTGTGCTATCATCTCTTCTTGCCACCTCTCCCCCAACCCCAGGGACGTCTCAGTGGAGCTGCCTTTTGTTCTCATGCACCCCAAGCCCCATGATCACATCGCCCTTCCCAGGCCCCAGTCAGGTGAGCCTGCCACCCACCCAAGCCCCCAAAGGGAGGGTCTGAAGCAAGGCCAGCGGAGAGGAAAGCTGGTCCTTTTAGCACCCACCTACCCCCCGACTCTCCTCCCCTCAGCTGCTCCTGAAACAGATGCCCCTGTGGACACCAACCTCATTGAATTCGATACCAAGTAAGAGACTCATGCCCCACCCCTTTGAGCTTTGACTCTCTGGACAGATTCCTGTAACATTCAGATCCTCCCCATTTTTTTCCCTTTGGGAGGCGGGATGGTTGAAGCATGGTTGAAGCATCCCATTGAGAGGCTTATGAGCTGCCAACTACCACCCCTTCTCTGTCCCTCTGCAAACATCTCCAGTCCCAAGGCTGCTCTGGTGCCTCTATCTCTGGGGGAGGGGACTGGGAGGTGGAGGAGGAGGCGGCCTGGGGCCCCCACCTCACCCCCTCCTCCCTACCACTAAGCTATGCCACAGACGACGACATTGTGTTTGAGGACTTTGCCCGGCTGCGGCTCAAGGGGCTGAAGGACGAGGACTACGACGACCAGTTCTGCTAGGAAGGGGGGCTGGAAGAAGGAAGTGGATGGTGGGGGGACAGGTGGGGGCAGGACCAAGACCCCCACTGTCACTGAGAGGGATCCCAGCCCCTCTTCCCTTCCCCTCCACCCAGCAGCTTCCTTGACCAACCCCTCCTTCTCCCACCCTCCCCCAACCCCCACCAGATACGCACTGGACCCAGCTCTTGTGGAACATGGGCATTAATTTTTTGACTTCGGCTGTGCTTCCCCAATCCCCCAGTGGGTGGCAAGCTGTGTTCACACCTCAGTTTTTTGGAGGGGGAGCCAAAGAGGAGTGATAGTAGGAAAAGGGGGGGAAAGCACTCCCACATTCAACCTCACACCAACACCCCCTCCTGTCACTATCTCTGCCTCCCATTCCTTCAGGATGAGACCCTTTGGGGGGCAAGACCACTTCGTTGTTTCTGAGTATAAAGAAGAAAATAAACCTTTTAATAGGCCTGAGTGTGTGTTTTCTGTGCAGTGTTTAAGGGGCGTGCAGTGTGCTCGTCCATGACGGTCAGCTGTGGGTGAGGACTGAGTCCCTTCTCTGCACCCACGTGGCACCTGGCCCAGAGGCTGTCAATAAACATTTACAGAATGACTGATCTGTACCTGTGCCCCAAGGTGAACACAGAAGCTTGATTTGGTCAGTCCCAACTCAAAGGTAGTTTGATAAAGCCACAGAGCAAACTCTCATTTACAGAGGGAATCACAACTCTCCCGCAGACTAGATGCTTGTGGGAGCTGGGCAGGGCAGGCCCGTCCCTGCTGGGGCTGACGCACACAACCACAGGGTGACCTGTTGTGACTGAGCTGTTTCCACCGCTCTGTGTGGCTGCTTCCACGGTCCGTTCCTGGGGCTCGATGGGGCCACAGCTGCAGGCAGAAGCCACATGACTGACATCTCTGTGCAGCCTGGTACTTACACTGTCACACAGAAGCCAAGGCTTCTGACAGCCAAAGGCAGTTGTGCTGCTGTGGACAAGTCCAAGAAGCTACAGCCCACTGCTGCTCCTCTGACGCTCGTCGGGGACTCCCAGAGGCTTGGCCCCAGCCCCTGGCTGGGCTGGAGGGAGGAATGATACTCCCGACATCCCTCACCCCCACCACCCACTCCCATTCCTGCAGTCCAGCCTTCCTTTTTCTCTTAAGGCTTATTCATTCGTGCCATGAACCACCTTGATTTAAACCCCCATCATGTGCTAAGCATAGTACAGGGATGGCAGTGGTCAAAACAAACTTGAAATCATTACAGTATCTGCTCCGAAGGAGAAATGCAGCAGCTAGGGAGCTCTGACTGAGGCGAGGGCTGGAGACTGATCTCCCTGGAGGTGGTGGTGACCTTGGAACAGAGCCCTGGAAGATGAGGAGGAGGCCAGTATCCCAGGCAACAGTAACACCATGTGTGAGGGCAGCGGGAACAGAGCACATTTCAGAGGCTGAAAGAGGCCACAGGGACTGGGACAGAGACATCCGGGGGCAAAGCAGTTCCAGATGAGGCCTGTGAGGCAATGGGGCCCCTCCTACCAGCCTTTAGTGGCTCAGTGGTAAAGAATCCGCCTGCCAAAGCAGGAGATGCAGGTTTGATTCCTGGGTTGGGACGATCCCCCTGGAGGAGGAAATGGCAAGCCATTCCAGTACTCTTGCCTGGAAAATTCCATGGATAGAGGAGCCTGGCGGGCTGCAGCTCATGGGGTCACAGTCACAGAGTCAGACAACGACAAAGCATAAATGCACGCACACGGCTCATGAAACCTAATTAAATCATGATTTACCCACAGGCTTTAAGTGCCCCCAGAATGCCAGTGACCTTGCTTACCTCTCCACAGTAGCAGTCTATTTGGACACCCTGGATGTCTTCACGTGGAGGAACCGCCATCATCCCTCTGACCCCTGGGAACCTGCTCCTTGACCTCGGAGCTCTTGGCCTGAGGACCTCACAGCTTTTCAGGTGACTCCAAATCCTCTGGGGTGCACGATAAAGACACGGAGTCCTAGGCTTCCACCTTCCCCGATTCTGATTCAGTTGGTCCCAAGAAGAATCCATGAATCAGGATTGTGAATTAGAACACAGTTTGAGAAACAAGGCCTTTTTTCTTTTAGCTTAAAAACATTTTTAATGCTTTTAAGAAAGTGAAACATGCACATAGTTTAAAAAAAAAAAATCCACAGGAAAGCAAAGTCTCCCTCCTGCCCTTGACCCCCAGCCTCCCATTTCTCATTCCCAGAGGCAGCCAGTATCACCAGTTCCTTGACTATTCTTCCAAAGACATTCTTCAGACACAGTCATACCTGTATAACCTATATTTCTCCCTTATTTTAAAAACAGATAACAGCAAACAGTTAGTACAGGACATGGAACAACAGACTGGTTCCAAATAGGAAAAGGAGTACATCAAGGCTGTATATTGTCACCTTGCTTATTTAACTTATATGCAGAGTACATCATGAGAAACGCTGGGCTGGATGAAGCACAAGCTGGAATCAAGATTGCTGGGAGAAATATTCATAACCTCAGATATGCAGATGACACCACCCTTATGGCAGAAAGCAAAGAAAAACTAAAGAGCCTCTTGATCAAAGTGAAAGAGGAGAGTGAAAAAGTTGGCTTAAAGCTCAACATTCAGAAAACTAAAATCATGGCATCTGGTCCCATCACTTCATGGGAAATAGATGGGGAAACAGCAGAAACAGTGGCTGACTTTTTGCGGGGGGGGGGGGGGGGGTGGTTCCAAAATCACTGCAGATGGTGACTGCAGCCATGAAATTAAAAGACACTTACTGCTTAGAAGAAAAGTAATGACCAACCTAGACAACATATTAAAAAGCAGAGACGTTACTTTGCCAACAAAGATCCATCTAGTCAAGGCTATGGTTTCTCCAGTAGTCATATATGGATGTGAGAGTTGGACTATAAAGAAAGCGGAGCACAGAAGAATTGATGCTTTTGAACTGTGGTGTTGGAGAAGACTCTTGAGATTTCCTTGGACTGCAAGGAGATCCAACCAACCCATCCTAAAGGAGATCAGTCCTGGGTGTTCATTGGAAGGACTGATGTTGAAGCTGAAACTCCAAAACTTTGGCCACCTGATGTGAAGAACTGACTCATTTGAAAATATCCTGATGCTGGAAAAGATTGAGTGCAGGAGGAGAAAGGGACGACAGAGGTTGAGATGGTTGGATGGCATCACCGACTCAATGGACATGAGTTTGGGTGAACTCCAGGAGCTGGTGATGGACAGGGAGGCCTGGCGTGCTGTGGTTCATGGGGTCACAAAGAGTCGGACATGACTGAGCACCTGAACTGAACTGAACAGCATACTATGCACTCTTCTACACCTGGCTTTTTTTCCTTAGTCATGCGGCTAGAAGAGCGTTCCTTTAGCAATCCATATACATCTATCTCATTCTTTATTTTCATTTATTTATACGTTTGGTTGCATCATGCCTTAGTTGAGGCACATGGGCTCTTGATTGCAATACATGGGGTTTAGTTACCCTGTAGCATGTGGGATCTTAGTTCCCACACATCTTAGCTCCCTGACCAGGGATCAAATTTGGGCCCCCTGCACTGGAAGGCAGATTCTTAACCACTGGGCCACCGTGGAAGTCCCTAGATCTCCCTCATTTATTTAAAGAGTCGCCTGGCTTCCACTGCCTAGATGTCATTTACTTTTCAGTTGTCTATCGATGAACATGAAGGATGTCCACTCTTGCTAATTCAAACACTGTTACAATAATTATCCTTGAAGATATGTCTTTTTTCACATGCAAAGTGCATATGTAAAACAAACTAATAAAAGTAGAATTGGTGGGGGAATTCCCTGGGTGTGCAGTGGTTAAGACTCCTCGCGCTTTCACTGCCAAGGGTCAGCTTTCAATCCCTGGTGGGGGAACTAAGATCCCACAAGCCGCAAAACACGACCAAAAGAAAAAGTAGAATTGGTGGATCAAAGAGGGTGAGCATCAATACTATATAAAACACAGATAACCAACAAGGACCTAATGTATAGCACAGGGAACACACTCAGTGTCTTGTAATAACCTAGTATAATGGAAAAGAATCTGAGAAAGTATATATAGGCTTTGTAGGTGACACAGTGGTTAAGAATCTACCTGCCAATACAGGAAAAATAGGTTCAATCTCCGGGTTGGGAAGATCCCCCGGAGAAGGAAACAGCAACCTGCTCCAGCACTGCTGGAAAATCCCACAGACAGAGGAGCCTAGCGTGTTATAGTCCATGGGGTTGCAAAAAAGTCAGACATGACTTAGCAACTAAACAACAAGGATATAGGAACTTCTCTTGTGGTGCAGGACGTAGCCCCAAGGAAGTATACATATAAAAAAGTATGTATATTTTTAGAGTATATATATATATATATATATATATAATTGAATCACTTTTCTGTACACCTGAAACTAACACAACATTATAAATCAACTACACTCCTATAAAATTTTTTTTTAATGAGAGAAAAAAGGGTGAGCATCTTTTCAATTTCTGGGTCAAGAAGCTCCCCTGGAGAAGGAAATGGCAACCAACTCCAATATTCGTGCCTAGAGAATCCCATGGACAGAGGAGCCTGGTGGGCTACAGTCCCTGGGGTTGCAAGGAGTCAGACACAACTTTACCAACTAAACAGCAACAACAAAATTGTTGACTACATATTACAATTTAAAAACTCATGAATTTTAAATTGTAATATGTAGTCAAGTACAATCAACTTTTTTTAATAGCTTCTGGGTTTTTTGTCACAAAACTCTTGCCCCTTTGGCTTTCTCACAATTTAACACTTCCTTTTCTTTCCAGATGAAACTTCAAGATCATCATATCAACCACCATCTCAGCAGCTTCAAATGTTTCTCCTTTCACAAAACCTATTCTCAAACCCCACCCTTGGCTCTGCCTAACCAATACCTCACCCTTCGCTCCAACACGGGGCTGCTGAGGCACTGCCAGAGAAAAATTGCACAACCACAGTTACTTGTTCATTCA